TTGGTGTTGGCGGTGGCGGTGGCGGTGGCGGTGTTCGTGTTCAAGAGGCGAGGAGAGGGGAGGAGAGGGGAGGAGAGCAGGAGGCCACGGTGATACATTTACGAGCGAATGTTACCCAATCTGACGATTACAGACACCCATAGCCCTGGCCCTGTGCAATTTGTTGCCATCTTATTTTCCCATCCTATCGACGGGCACTGCAGGACTCTTCGTTTTGATACTGCCGCCATTTGGCGGAATGCCCATTGCGATGGCCATTGCCGATAAAAAAAAAGTGCGCTCTCCTCTCCCGCAAGATCATTTGCATCCAGCCAGCCAGCCAGCCAGCTAGCCAGCCAGCCAACCAGCCAGCTGCTGAAGCCAATAACTAATCACTCATCGCCCGGATACTTCCGCTTCCATCTTTCATCTGCCAGCCCAAGATCCATATCCTGGTGTGCAAATCAATAAACTTTTCTCTGTTCCACCACCAGAACAAAAGCCTAGGAGTACGATGATGAACGTAGGAGAACTCTTATTTAAAAGAAGATCTTAAAGATCTTTAGCTAAAACTTTCTTTGACAGATAAAGATACAAAGATGGAGGCTTTTTCCACCTGCTTCTAACCCAAAAACCGAACTTACATTTCGAATTGTGTGTGTAATAGCCGATATCAGATGAAGTCGAACGAAACGGCAACGAAATACGAGAAATAACTTCAACATAAACATAATAAAGGACATGGCCCCTCGAGTATGAAATTCGCATAATTTAAGAGACCCAATACCGATCCCCAGACCAAGATCTTCAGTGGCATGATAGAGCCAGAGAGCCAGAGACCAGATAATCATTTAATGCCGTCCGAACAGGGAACGCCCCTGGATAAAAAACTGGTACCGCGACGAGAGCTAATAACATAACCCTCCCAGCCAAAACCACACGAGTACGAGTGCGACTACGAGTACGAATACGAATACGAATACGAATACGAGTATATATCCAACTCTTGGACTCCGACGTCCTACCACTCGAAATGCTCTTTTCTGTTTTTTTTTCTTTTTTGGTCTCCCCCCATTTGTTTGCCTTATTCGCTGGCTTTTCGGGATTGACAGGCTCTCGAGAGAGCCTTTCGCAAGTGTTTTCGGGCGACACAATGCACCTTCCAAACACACACAGACACACGCTCCGCTCCGGTTCCTTTTTGGGCCGAGAACCGGGGTTTGGATTGGTTTGGTTTGGTTTGGTTTAAGGTTTTTGTTTCGGAGGAGGTGACCAACTATTTTTCCCCGTTAACATGTTCACTTCTCAAGTGCTTCCTTTGTGACTGACTGACTGACTGACTGGCTGACTGGCTGGATGGCTTGACTGGGCTGACTGAGCGCCTGTCTACCTTGTATGAGGAGGCCCTGGACGGTCGCTGGCTCGGCCGGCATATAAACACTGACACTGCCATGACGGGTGCCTTTCAAACGAAACGCAAACGCGAACCGCCGAATGCCAAGTCCCCATTCGCAGTCGCAGTTCCAGGTCCCCAAACACAAACCCAAACCCAGACCAAGTCCCAATCGGAGTCCCTGTCCCAGTGTCAGTTGCAGTGTCAGCTCCGGAGAGAGTCACAGCCGAAGAGTCAGAGCGCGTGAGCAAAGATTATACAGTAGATGCTCCCAAGAATGGACTGGACAAAGGGGGTTAAGAATGTTTACTTCTTTGACGAATAAGAGTTAACCTCTGAAAATACTATAACGATCAAGATTTTTTTTATTGCAATTAAACATTTAAATAAAAGATAAATTAGAGATTATTAAGTTGAAAAGTACTTATAGAAAATATGGTCTAAAAATTAGAAGATTTCAAAAAAGATACTACCGCATGGTAGATACTACGTTTTGGATGATTTTTGGTAAATGGTTGGGCTATGGCTCCATAAATGTATAAATATTAATGGAAAGAGTCAAATATTTTCAGAATGCAAAGATACAGGAATGGATAGACAAAAGATAGATTGTAGATACAGATTCGATAGTAATATTGAATAATATTGTAATTCCCTAATTTTGTTTTCAAATGTCAGAGATTCCCCTCTCAATTGCCGTCTTGGAAGATTGTTCACCTCTGTGCAGGGTCCACTGTAACGTCAAACACAACTTGAGAATGTTGTTCCCTCGCCAGTTGACGACGCCAAACGTCGTCGTTGTTGTTAACCCTTGTGTGCCGTGCCGTGTGCCGTGTGCCGTGTGCCGTGCGCGCAAGGATTATGATTTATGCGGAATTGTCACGCCGCTGACAAAGTCAAGTCGTGTGTGGCTGTGGCTGTTGCTGTTGCTGTGGTGCCTCTTCAGTTCCAGTTCCCGTACCCGTTCCCCCCAATGGATCAACTGCTAATGGCTTGCCGGGGGATCACTTGAGCGGCGACAGAGACAACAAGAGACAGACAGGCGAGAGAGACAGCCGGAGAGGAGACAATGACAACGAAAGAGATAGAGACAGAGACAGAGGCAGAGGCAGAGAGAAACGAACGACCAATGGACGGGACGGGAGACGGCTCACCAAAGGGTTAATGCCGAATTTCAAAAGACTTTAATGAAAAGTTTAGTCGATTTGACGTCGCACTCGAAAAATCGCTCTTGCCTCAGTTCCAGTCAAAGTCACACACAGTCACCTCCCCCTCCCCCCTCCCCCCTCCCCCATCCCCCATCCACCCGGATAACCCCTTTACTACCATTGAAAACTGAACGGGGAACGACAGCAAAAAAAAAAAAAGTCAACCTGGTTCGAAGTCAAAGTCGAAGTCGAAGTCGACATCGCATCGCGTCCGTGGCACGACAACACGACATCATTTTGTACGTCACTCAAAAACGTTCGTAGGCTGTCAGGGAGACAGTTCAAAAATGAAATATATACATACACATATGTACGTACATATAAATTATAAAAAATTCTAAAACGCAAAAGAGAGGGAAAGACAGAGAGGCAGACAGACAGACAGTCAGTCAGTCAGTCAGTCATTGATTGAACATACACCTCGGACCCGTAAGCGACGCCAGCTGGGATCCAAAGGAGAGGGTGCCGGGTGGGTGCTCTGAAGTGCCGTTGCCATTCCGTAACGATGACACGGACACATGGGAGACGGAAGCCCGGGAGCCCGGGCCACGGATACGGATACGGGTACGTCGAACCTAGGGTTCGCTTTGGCCCCCCAAGTGTCATTGTCGTCGTCGTCGTACATTTTGATTTTATTATTGATTCAATTACAACGTCAAGGGGAAAATACTACTCGTACTTTTACAGAAGGACAGTCCCAGGCGCCAGAAAGGGTCAGGGATCAGGGCAGAGAAATGGTTTATTCTCAACCCCAACCGGATATGGATATGTATATGTATGTACAATGCCTATAAAATATTCAGTTGCAAAGTGCAGCTAGACCGAAGGACGATTTCCTTAATGAATCAATAAACAATCGATCCAAATGACATGCGGCGACATTCACGGCTATTCAGCAGAATATTGAAGCCCGGGGATCTGTTATAGATTTGATAGATGTTGATTTGTTGACATGTGCCCCATGCCACACAAAGAGTCGTAAATAATGCACACACAGCCAGCCGATAATTCCGCTAATGAATTGCGCCAATGTTTGCGTAGTTAAAACTGTTAACTGTCGAAGTCTCCTAAGCTCAAAGCCCAAAGCCCCCCATCAAAACCAACAAAGTAAGCGAAACACAAAACAGGGCCTCTCGAGCACTGGTATGCCCTACAGCAGCAGCGAAGACTAGAGAGAGGGAGCTGTCTAGTCTACTTTTCCCCACCAAAAGGGACAGAATATAATACTATACATATGTCTTGTAATTCATTTAATAAGTTACCAGGAAACGGGGTATTAGAATGGAACCCATCACCAGAGATCATTGAACCCTAGACAGGCCTTGCACTGGTTATAGGCTGTTCTCTCTCTCTCTCTCTCTCTACGAACCCTTCCTTGTAGCGTAGGGGTGCAGAGTGTAGGGTACAGCCGACTTGCTTCTGATTCTCAATGTGTTTGACCAAAAATATACCTAAATGGTACTGCTAATAAGCCGTTTAAATTTGGTTTATACTCTTTTGTTGCTGTGCGCTGTGTGCTGACTGGTGTGTGCTAATGACAATATTATTTGATTAGCTCGTTTAATTGGTTTTCTTTTTACACTTTTGTGTCATACGCGCTGTCAACGTTTGGCTTCACATGTCCGTCGATGCGCGCTTCGAGACGGCCTACAAGGTCCATGGGCTCGGAGATGATGGCTGGGGCGGAATATGGAACATAAGTAATATTTTCTATTTATGCATACATGTATTTATTTGTTCTTGTATCCTAGTGCACTCCTTGTGGCACTTTTATTTGAATTGAATAAAGATTACACTGATTTTGAATACTAAACATTTACTTGTTTTAGTTTATTTATTTAGTCTTTGTTGATACTCGTATTTCCATGATCTACGTATTCTATATTGATTATTCTCAATATTCTCTATTCAAATATTGGCTCTTAATTATCTTATTATCAATATTTTCACCAGGTTCTTAATGGATATTTTTATGCATAATTTCATATAGATATTCCTGTATTTCGCCATTCAAAAAGCGCATCTCTTAGTCGCCTAGAACCCCCTCTGCCTGCTGTTAGATACTTTTTTCGGGTGTGTGCCCAGGCACTTGGCACATTTGTCGTATCGTTTTAGAGACGACTCGGATTAAATATTACGATCGTTTATTATATTTTGTCATTTGATTTAAATTAACACCATTTCGTTGGGGCCCCCAAGGGGTATGCGATTTGCGGCAGTTCCAAAAACCAAAACCAAAACCAAATCGATATTTAACCGCTACCGTGCGGGCCATAGACTCGATGCGATATGATATTTCTTGCATGGATGTGTGAAATATTTCGATGTGACTGTGAGTGTTTGCGTCCAAGCACTTGACATTTCTTGGATACCTGAACACATCGACTAACCATCTACTCTACTCTGCTCTCCATTTTCAGATCCCAGCACTGTCCAGCAGTTGGGAAGTAAAAGTCGGATCACGGTTACGGCTGCGGTTCTCTCTTGACATGTAAGTAGTGTCTGCCACAGAATAGAAGTTGGCTTGACTTCCTCATTCTCCTCTCCGGTCGGTCGGTCGGTCGGTCGGTCGGTCGGTCACTCATAAGCCATTTTGACAATGTCCCAAACAAACTAATTTTTATATCTCTATAGAGCCCGAGAGCCGAGATGGCCCCAGATTCGCTTCAGATACGGCACAACACAATAGAGTCACAAAGCTATTAAAAACTGATATAAATCTCATTAAATGCGATGCTTGTAGCAGATGAACAAAGCCGCCGCCTTGGCCGCCTTGGCCGCCTCGGCCTCTTGCCAGTTGCCAGTTGCCTTTTGCCTGTTGCCTTGCCTTCAATCAATCGTTTGTTTCGCTCCCGGCAACAAACAAGAATGGCTCTTGTGCTGTGCTCTCGCCCTGGTCTCGTCTCCGCTCCGGAATGGATCGGAATGGAGACTGAAGATCGCTTTAGTTCGGTCTCGGTCTCTTCTCCACTCCAAAATGCCATGGCCAGGCCCAGAGATCAGAGACTGAGTGCTCCTCGCTCTCCGCCAGATTAGAGCTTACCCCAAAGTCGGACTCAAAGTTCGGTCATCACTTTGGTGACGCCCCGAAAAAAGATACAAAAAAAAAAGGAACTACACAAAAGCACTGTAACAAATAAATCGTAAAGAGTGCAGTAGTTTCCCGTTGAACTATTATGGCAAATCCTTACCATCCAAAGGGGAACTGCGGCTTAGAAGATCATCTTGAATGGGGATTGTTTTCATATAATAGCTATCATATTTACTCTTATTCTTCTAAATCGTAGATGCATTCCATTCTGTGCTGTATCGGACAACTCATTAAGAGAACTTGATTTCGTGGAAGTGTGCCCCGGTGTGGTATTCCGAGATTCAGTCCAGATATCCCATAGATATCCCAGTAGCCCCAACATCACACTTTCCTCCTAAACAGCGCACCTCCCTGGCAGCAGCGGCAGATCATATTGATGCGGCGGTGCGGCTGTCCGCGTCGTGTGCGCTTGAGGGCCTAACCCAACCATTCCACTTATTACACAGTCTAAGTCCCGGATTACGGGTAGCCAGACGCTCAGACAGGGCAGCACCAGCACCAGCAGCAGCAGCAGCAGCAGCATTTCTTACAGATCGGAGGAGCTCCTGCTGTGCAGTCAGACCCAAAACATCACATCTGATCGGTTGAGACACTCGGCTGGGTAGCGCCACTGTACCCTCAGAGCACCCAGAGCACCCAGAGAACCCAGATCCAGGCTCCAGAAACCCCAAAACCATGTTCGTGTTCGTGTTCGTGTTCGTGCCGTGTCCTTTCCATTGAGCCTCGTCTGTTGGCGCTCTCTTGGCTGTGCCGGGCCGCGCCGTGCCGTGGTGTGGTGTGGTGCAACCAGCGGCTTCCGTCAACGATCCCATAAGATCCCATTTGCATATCGAACAACAACACAAAAAAAAAGAAGAAAAAAAGAGTAAAAAAAGGAGAAAAAAAGATGTGAGTTTTTTGTTGAAATCACTTTGTTAAGCTTTGTTGTTCGGCAGCAGTCGGGGGCGATCAGAGGCGTTCATAATCAGAACTGAAGTGATGCCGTGGTCACGGCGCTGTCGACTCTCCGCTCGGATCGGATCGGATCGGATCGGGTCGGGGACATTGGGCATTGGGCATTAACATCGGGCCGGGCTTTGACGGCGATCACTGCCCAACATATCTCATATGCAGCAAGCCGTGTTGACACTTTTTATGTGTTTCATAAATTAAGTTTTACAAAATAGAGCTGGACTGGGTCTGGGACTGGGGATGGGGATGGGGATGGGGCCGGGGCCGGGTCCCTCCGTCGAGTCGGGCTTGTGTGTTGGAGATCTGTGGGACACTCACTTCGCATTGGATTGGTATCGTATCCGAACGGAACGGAACGGATCGCCTCGCCTCGACTCTTGCCGCGTTTAATGGTTGACATTTGAAATTTTCTGTTGGTCGACTTTAACACGCATTTATGGCTTCTGCTTTATGGCCTTCGGAATGCGTTAAAAAAATGTTCCTTATGACTGGTCGGCTGCTGCTGATTCCATGCGATAAAGCCCAATAATAAAGATGATTGGTGTCTGGAATGCCATTTTTATCTTTTCTTTTTTTTTTTTTTTTTTTTTCTTATTCTTTAGGATACACACATACATACACTCGTACACGTCTCACAGCTTAGCGGCAATTTTGTTGTGAGACGAAAATGAGTTTCATGTGAAATTCAAAATTGAAAGGAGGTCCAGACTGCCGCCTGTGCCCCATCAACAGTTTGATGGATATGGCAGGATGGATACGGCTCGAAAATTGGCCATCAGAATCAATAAGGAGGATAGTAGGGATTTCCATAACCAGAGAGCTAAGATATAGTGATCTCAAACGTTAGCTAATGGGTTTTCAGATGGTCCTTGGTCCTTTAATGTATACTGATTTTTTGTTTGGAAAACTATAAACTATAAACCAAAAAGAAGGGAATAGAATACTATTTTGCAGCTTATGTATCCGCCAGATACCTCATCGGTGGGTGGTTCAGTATTTCATGCACGTGAAAGCCAAAGTCCGATATGATACTTAATAAATGAATCCTGAATTCGATTTAGTTGAATTTACAGAAATAATTCTTCATTGGCATTTAATGAATATCTTAAATGAAACCTTTAGCAATCCAAAGCCAGCTGTCGTGTGGCAGCTTTCCGGGGAACAGCTAGGGTTACAATGTCCGCCTGAACTGTCCGTAAATATAGTACACAAATTACAGGCCTGACAAACAACGGGGGGGAATTAAATAACTGTCACTTTGATGCAATAACAGATCAGATTGATACAATTGTCGTCTGGCTGTATACCCGGCCATATACTTACAACCTACGGTGGCACATACACACGAGATCGGTGATCGGGGATCGGAGATCGGAGATCGGCTTGGACAGAACTGGTTTGGTTAGAACTCGAATTCGGAGCGAGCCAAAACAGAAAAGAGCAAAAATAAACAGAGATACTCGAAAGAGTGGGGTGCAGAGGGAGAGCAAAAGCAATTAAAAGCGGCCGAGACTGTCGCCCCTGTTCATCTCTGGGTGCCAGATTCTGTAGAGAACTGAAACGTAATCGAAATAAATGTCATTACACAGCACAGCACAGCACAGCAAAAACTACAACAGACCACAGACACCACACCACACCACTCCACACTGAACAGGTGGCAATTAAAATACAATTTGTATACCATTTAAATGACTCTGGCCAAGATGACATGTGTCATGCAAAGGCACAGTCCAAAGACAGTCGGCCAGCCGGCCAGCCAGCCAGCCAGCAATATAATAATAGAGTCAGATCAGAGAAAACTCCCATATCGGGCACGGGTATAAGTACTCGTAGAAAACAGTCAGCTTAACAATGTCAAAAAATGGCATGGAAAAGTATGGTTTGCTTTTTATTGTTTTAATCGGGATTCATTCAAATAAACAGGATTATTTCCGTATCGCTTGGAAAAATCTCTATAGCAGCGATAGACCTTTAGGCAAAGGTATCTTTATTGCATTTGTTGCAACATTTTTTGTAGCTAGCTTAGCCATAAAAGAAGTCATATTAATAATAATGATTGTTTCCAACCCCAAAATCATAGAAAGATCTTAAACATATTCTTTAATATCTTTCACAAGAAGGGAATATTATTGAATCAGCGTTAGAATCTACAAAATATGTTCAATATTCCTAAGAGCTATAATAGTATCAGTATATACATATATATGGCCACTTTGTATTCATTATCTCACAATTTATTAGCATCTTTTGTTAAAAAATTCGTCCCCAAGACGCAGTCGGTTCGTCAAGAGATCTTGCGCAGTGATCGCGATCGCGATCTCGATCTCGATTTTGATCGCGTTTGAAGATCACGATCAGAGCCAGTTTTGGCCAATGGCTGGGGTCGGGAGATCTCGACTCTTGTGGCGGTGCCCAAGAATGTGACATGGCATCTTGAAGTGGCCCCAGTCATGGACAGCACGAAGAGACGCTCTTCTGCTCGCACTCGCACATTGTCATGTCACGGCGGGCTCTCCACTCCACTGCCGGACTCTCCAACACTGGCCCAGTGTCCATTCCATCCATCCACTCTGCGCACACTATACAGTGCGATCACTGTGACTGTATGTGTTTGTAGGTATGCCTGTGTGCACCCAAGTGTCTGTCCTCGCGTTCGCCGGCTCTCCAGAGCCCCGTGAAGTGTCCACTCAGAATTTGTCACATCATTATTCTTATTTTTCTTTTCAATAATCATATGTACACACGAGAGCACACACATCGCCCGATGGCCCGATGGCCCGATCGCCCGATCGCCCGTGATGCGCTGATGTGTGCCTGGGAGGTCTCCGGCTCCGGCCACTTCGTTAGGCTTCGTTTTCGGTGGAAAACTCCTTGAGCACTCTTTGTGCTTATACTCGTGGTGGGACAATGTTTCAGATGAAGAGAAGATATGGCCCAAGGGCCACTGGGGGCGGCCCAGAAACTCGTCGCGACCACGGCCACAATGCCACACAGCTCGAAGAGCTCTGAGGTGTAGTAGAGCCTATACCTAGGGCTTGTAACTTTAAGTTCGGAAATAATCGGGGTAATAATCGCGGAAGAGGAATCGATAGGGAATATATTTTTGTAGCCTGTTTGTTCTGGGAGACTTTTCATCCTTATATCTGGTATATTTGGTATTTTAAGTATTTTCAGTATTTTTAGTATATAGTTTATGCTTTTAAATCCATTTGTTATAAAAAACTTTTCTCTTTGTATTATTTATTTCCAGCCATTGCATGGAATTGGAAGGAGTAGAAAGACGGAGGAGGAGGAATAGAGGAGGAGAATCGTACCACAACGAATCTATATGCAAGAGCTATACACATCCTATATCTAGTCTACGATATTGTCAGAAATATACCGATTAACTGTAGTTTGTAAGCCGCTTGATGAATATTGGTCAGGAGAAGCATCCGCACTTGCATCCGCATCCGCAGCAGCAACAGCAGCAGCAGCAGCATTCGCATCCACATCCGCAGACAAAACAGCAGCAGCAGCAGCAGCAGCAGCAGCAGCAGCAGTCACATCCCCAGGGCAACAACAGTCGTCACACAGATCTTTCCAGTCCGCCGGCTCCTGGTAGTCCATCGTCGGGGGCCATCCCTATCGACTATCCTTATCTGCTCGGCTACCGCCTGCCGCTGAACCACGGCCATGAGAGACATCCAGCGCACCACCAGAGTCACCACCACCATCACCACCCCCACCACCAGCATCAGCATCCATCGATTGGCAATCTTAGGCGCTCCAGCTCCCCCGTGCCCCTGCCCGTTCCGATGGTGATGACACCCAGTCGCCGCAGTTCGCCGCCTCTGCCGCTACCACTGACGTTGCCGCTGCGCCATCCCCTGAACCTGAACCACAGCCACAACCACAGTCACAGCCATAGTCACAGCCACAACCACAACCACAACCACAATACCCATACCAATGCGAGTGTGGGCGGGAGCCATCAGTCTATGAGCGCCCACTTCTCGTCGCTGGCCCACGCCCAGCTGCATCTGCAGAGCCAGCTGCACCAGAAGCTCTCGGCGGCCAGCTACTTCCGCAATCCCTCGCCCTCGCCGACGGACAACAACACGAACAGCACCGGCAGCAACAGTCGGAACCACGCCGCCTGCTCCACGGCCCCAGCCTCGACGGCCGTGTCCCCGCCCGCCACGAGCATGAGCATGAGCACCGCCCAAATGAATCCGCTGAGCGATCTGCAGAACATGCAGCCCTTCGACTTTCGAAAAATCAGCTCGGCCAGCCTGGGGGCCTTCTCCACGCCGCTGCCGCTGCCGCCCAGCCCCACCGAGTTCGTGCACCACCACCAGCAGCATCTGCAGCAGCAGGCGGTGCAGCAGGCCGCCGTTCTGGCCCAGGCCCGGCGACGGATCAGCGAGGCCAGCACTCCGGGGGAGAAGAGCGCCGCCGTGGCGGCTGCCGCTGCCGCGGCTGCAGCAGCGGCTGCCCAGAGCAATCAGTTCTTTAGCGCCATGGCCATGGCGGGGCATCCGTTGCCGTACCACCTGCCGCCGCCGCCGCCACCGCCGCCCCCACCGCAGCAGTCCTCGTCGCAGTCCTCGTCGTCCTCGCAGTCGCAGAGCAATCAGACGGCGGGAGACCGCTCGGAGATGGGTCATGGCCATGGCCATAGTCACGGCCATGGTCACGGACACAGTCACGGCCACGGTCACGGTCACGGCAACCATTCGCCCAGTCAAAATCACAGTCACCAGTATCCGCATCCGCATCCGCACCAGCACCCACATCCTCACCAGCACCCACATCCGCACCAGCATTCGCATCAGCAGCACTCGCACTCGCACTCGCACCACCAAAAATCAACCGCCGGAGGAGGAGGTGGAGGAGGAGGGGGAGAGGAATCCTCGGGCAAGTCCTCGCGTCATTTGGATAAAGGCAGCAACAGCTGTTCCTCCTCCACCGCCTCAGGATCGGGCTCTGGTTCCGGCTCCGGATCGGGCTCGGGCGGATCTGGGGGCTCCGGCTCGAGCTCCCAGCGCATGACCCGCCTGGCCCTGTCCTCCAACCTCCGCTCTGGCCGCAAGACGCACTCGCCCGGCGGTGGGGGCGGCGGTGGCGGCGGCGGCGGCAGCAAGCGCCAGTGGGGCTCAATGCCGGCGAATTTGGGGACGCAGTTCATCAATCCCGTGACCGGCAAGAAGCGGGTGCAGTGCAACGTCTGCCTGAAGACCTTCTGCGACAAGGGCGCCCTCAAGATCCACTTCTCGGCGGTGCACCTGCGGGAGATGCACAAGTGCACCGTCGACGGCTGCAGCATGATGTTCAGTTCGCGCAGGTCCCGGAACCGGCACAGCGCCAATCCCAATCCGAAGCTCCATTCGCCGCATCTGCGACGGAAGATCTCGCCGCACGATGGCCGGAGTGCCCAGCCGCATCCGTTGCTGCTGCAGGCCCCCAACGGTATTATGGCGGGGCTGGCGCCCTTCGGCAGCTTCCCCCTGCTGACTCCGCCCCCCGATCTGCGCCACCATCCGGCAATGGGCGGGGGATCGGCCATGGATCTGAAGCACGGACAGGAGTATCTGCAGCGTTCGTACATGGAGAACGGGGGCATGCTCGTGGGCGGACGCTTCGAGGGTCAGGGGCAGAGGCGCAAGGCGCTGGAGGTGGAGGCCGACGATGACGAGGATGACGACGAGATACTCGAGGTCGGGATCCACATGCCCGACGACGATGATGACGACGACGATGGAGACGGCGATGGGGACGGGGATGGCGAGGACGATGACGATGATCCCGATGGCGATGGCATTGTGGTGGTGGGCGACGAGCTGGACAGCATACCGGACAGGCCCGGCCATGGCCACGACCAGGACTTCATGCTGGACCAGGACCAGGACGAGAGCGTCTCCAGCCACAGTCACAGCCACAGCCACAGTCAAACCAAAGAGCAGCCCAGCCCGGGCAAGGGGACGGCAGACGGTCTGGAGGCCATGGACGAGCAGCACGACGACTCGCCCAGCCATGGCCATGGCCAGATCTCGGCCAGCAAGCGAAAGCGCAAGAGCCAGAACCCAGTGCGCTGCACGGTCCAGTCGGACGAGAACTCCTGCGAGAACTCCCTCGACTACGATGTGGCCGCCGATCTCTCCATCAAGAAGATTCGATTGGGCGGCGCGACGGATGGATGTGTGGTGGCAGGAGCAGCAGGAGCAGGCGCCACAGCAAAAGGAGCGAGGGAGGAGCACGCTTCATCAGCCAAAGAAACGGAAATGGGGCTCACGAGCTCCAGCTCCAGCAGCGAGTCCACCAAGGCCATTCCCTCGCCCCCACTCACGCCCTACACGACGCCCGGCGATGGGAGGCCACCCGTCAGCATCAAGACGGAGCTGCCGGATGAAACGGAGGCCGATGCCGATGCCGACACCGAGGCAGAGGCGGAGGCGGAGGCGGAAAAGGATGCGGGAACCACGCTGGACCTCTCCCTGGCCTCGGCTGGCGGCGGGGCCATCAAGCAGGAGCCGCTGGAGGATCTGGCCCTTGGCTATGATAACGATGAGAATCGCTATCTGCGCATCAAGCAGGAGCTTCTCGGCACCGACGACGTCCAGGACTGCAGCAGCAGGATAAACAACAACAACAACAACGTGCTGACGGACACACCTGGCGGGGATTTGCTCAAGGCGGCGGCGGTCAATGGCGTGGACGAGGAGGAGGAGGAGGAGACGGCATACCTGCACGAGGGGGAAACAGAACGCGAGACAGAGCCAGAGCCAGAACCGGAACCCGAACCGGAGCCAGAGCCGGAGCCAGAGGTGCCCATTGACAAGGAGAACCCACTGAAGTGCACCGCCTGCGGGGAGATCTTTCAGAATCACTTCCACCTGAAGACGCACTACCAGAGCGTGCACCTGAAGCTCCACCACAAGTGCAACATCGACGGCTGCAACGCGGCATTCCCCTCGAAGCGCAGCCGCGATCGCCACAGCTCCAATCTCAACCTGCACCGGAAGCTGCTCTCGACCAGCGATGACCACGGCCACCTGCCGCCCGGCCCCTGTCCTGGCACTGGCAGTAGCACCGGGGACTCGCTGCTGGATCTCATGAGCCTCAATGTGAACCTCAACAACAACAAGGGCGGCGGCTTCGGCGGGTGCCCGCCCGTGGGAGTGCCCGGCAACATTCAGGCGGAGATACTGGCCCGCATCTGTGCCGGGGCCCATGCCCACGGGCTGAGTGTGCCGCTCTGTTTCGAGGCCCTGCAGCATCGCTTCGCTGTGGGCCATGGCCATGGTCACGGGCACGGGCACGGGCAGTCGCCCACAGCATTCGGGGATGGCGGTCCGAACGCGAACGCCTTCATGGGGAGCGGCGATCCGAGGCTGTTGCTCAATCATGGCGGGAATCCGTTGCTCTTTGCGGGATTGCCGCGACTGCCACGTTTCCCACAGCTGGCGCCGCACATGCTGGCCGCGGGTGCTGCTGCCGGCGGGCTGGGACCCTTCTGCAGACGCACCTCCTCCGACTCGAATTCGCAGCACTCGATCACGCCGCCGGTATCGAAGGGCTCGCCCCAGCCCCAGTCCCAGTCGCAGTCCCAGTATCTGCGGCCACGATCCCGTTCTGGTTCGCCGGACTATGAGATGCAACAGCAGCAGCAGCCTGCGGCAGCAGCAGCAGCAGCAGCAGCAGCAGCGGAGGAGCAGGAGGCGGGCCAGAGGCAGAGTCCCGATCGCATATCATGACCATGTACCTCGTACTATGCCAAGGCATTGGCATTTTATCACTAAAATCAACGATCGACGATCAACGAGCCGCCGCCGCCGCCGCCGTCTTGGCCAAAATCCCACGTCATGCGCACTCACACACACAAACACACAGAATATATATATATATATAGTATATATATAGTATATTCGTTCATGCAATATCAGGCTAAAACGTAGGACTACAGCATTGCTCATAATTCACATCGATTACAGGAGGGAGGTTGGGGTGCCGTGCCCTGCCCTGCCCTGCCTGGCCGCTCATAATACAACAAAATATACAATATACAATTTTACTAGGCTAATGCTAATATAAAATATTAGATGGATCAACTAGCATTTTTTTTCTATACATATGAGTATATACACACACAACACACACACACACACACACACACGTATATGTATGTATATGTATGCGAGAGTCCCTTTTTTTTAAACTTGTATTTATAAAATGGATAAACTGTTTGTTGTTTTATGTACACAAGCGTCGACGTTGTAGAGAATTGATAAATGAATGGAAGGACGGACACGGGAGATGGGAGATGCTAAAAGATCGAGAGAAAGTGGGATACTTATATTAACAAGAAGTACTAAATAAATAATTAACGATTATATATTGTTAGTGATACTCGATTATGTAAGTACCGTTTAGCCACTAAGCCAGCGCCTAATAATTTTTTTTTTTTTTTTTTTTCGCTATCGTAACTGAATCCCTAAGTGTATTTGTATATGATATAGAAACGATGATGAGTCAACGACGAAACGCTTGCTAGGAAGAAACCAACAAAAAAAAAACTGATTACTGATTAGTGATTAGTGATTAGTGACTACCGATCTATGATCACTGATCTGATACTATCTGATACATCGCGATGATCCAAAACCGAACCGAACCGAACCGAAGTTGTGTTGTTTTCTTTTTATCACAAAACCAATCCTAAAGTAATTATATAGTGAGTTAGTTAGTTCTGAAAACAGTAACCAGGCAAATACCTTCAACTCATATTTAAGCTATATATGTTTGCAATAAAATATCAATGAAAAATCATAAATTATACGGCTGTTTGTTCTTAAGGGGTGCTCGGGGAGCCCGAGCCTCTGAAATGGCATTCTGGGATTCTGCCTTTAGCAGATCTGATGTCTAAAGATGCTTATAAATGGTGGTGAACAGAACGCCAGGGACTGTGTATATTGTTGCTGGATTCTGGGGAACGACTCAGCTGACGATCAAGCGAAGCTGTGTAGACAGCTGTTTGGTTTATCGTGCCACATCGTGGTATCAAACAGTCTTTTCTAGTACTGAGACTTTCTTCTGTGACTTTTTCCACTGAGAGCTTGTTGCCTGAAGAGTGAGTAAATGAGTGAGTAAGTAAATAGCATCCGGGGCCATGTTTTGAGCACTGATTGAATCGCTATGCGTCGATTTGCTTCGATTCCATGGCAAAATATGGAGTTGCAGAGCACCTTAAGCAATACTCGTTGTTAAATTTTAATAGGCTTATTTTATAGTTACTGTTTTTGGCATAATTACAGTGGATATCGAAATGTAGAAATAGCTCTTAATATGCTCGTAAATGGCCACAGAATAGTCATCTCGTAAGGAGTGCAATAAACCCAACAAAATCAAAACTACTATTATTAAAGATGGTGTAATATGACTGAGCATTTGAAACTCTTTGAGAGTCTCATTGGTTTTTTGGAAGGGGGAGAAGGGGACTCTCTTTTTTTGTTTGGCCGATTTTAAAGAATAGTTTGGAAATTGTAGTCACATGTAGGGGAAAAGCAATTGCAAATTGCAAAACTGATAATAATTGGGATTGCAGATAGTGCCAGCTTAAAATGCAAAATGGAAGTTGGGAATGGTTCTGTTCGGTTCGGTTCGCCTCGAAAAGGGTTGATTCTAGCGAGCCATTTAATTTTAGATCGATTAAGGGAGCTCGTAAATTTAGCTGCCTTTGGGCCCTGTCCCGGCACTGGCTTTGGGACTGGGACTGGGACTGGCACTGGCACTGGCACTGGCACTGGCAATGCGAGGGCGTCAGTGTCCAAATAAATAAATGCAGCGACGTCGTCGTCGTCGTACTCGTATGGGTACCGCAAGTACTCGTATCGTATCTGCACATGCTTGCTGGCAGGGCAGTGTCTGTAGGGTGTATCTTATGGATAAATGGTTGGTGTGTATGTGTGTGCGAGTGTGTGTGGTTGTCCATGTCACCCCTGGGCCTGGGCCTGGGCCTGGGCCTGGGCCTGGGCCTGGGCCACACCGACGCCATCACCATTGCAAAGGCAATGGCCCTCCCCTAGGACGGGCAGGAGCCAGAGCAGAGCCCGGAGCAATAGCACACCACACGTACAGAAAATAACAGAGCCCGGAGCCAGGGCCAGAGCCACGGCCAGAGCCAGAGCCTCGGTGTGGTGCAATTTATTTAAAGTAACATTTTAGTGTTTCCTTCCGCTGAAATTCGTTCTCTTCCTTCCTGTTGGCAGGACTCGTACTCGTGCTCTGTCTCTCTATCCTGTCCTGTCCTGTGCTGTCCTATCCTATCGTATCGTATCGTATCGAGGCCCCAGCTCGAACCTGAACCCGAGACGAGACCGAGGTGGAAAAACAACAGATTGTGGGTAAATAAAATTGCCACAATGTTATCGTTAAGCCTGCAGCGGACACGCAGAAAACAACGGCAACAACAAACAGTTAACAGCCATAAGGAACGGGGTATCCGCATCCACATCCACATCCACATCCAGCTCCACCTCCACCTCCCTATATACCACACATGCATGTACATGCACACACTCACACTCGTGCACTTACTCCTCCATTACATACGAGCGTATGCTGCCATATGGTGTACCGAGCACACTCGTAAAAGCACACACAGTGTGTGTATGTGTCGTCCTCGTATCTATGGGAATGTTTCTTACATTCGCGACCTTAATACGAACCGCTTAAATATATGCCATTTAGTGGCGCCAAGCCGGAACAATGTATTTTTGGTGGAACATCATCTGAAATGCGAGCCATAAGACGCGAGTATTCCAGCCCGGACCCATAAATAAGGGAAGATCCAATGGTCCTATGGTCCTACATATACAAATACCAAATAATTGAGTTTCCACATACTGTAATTATTTTATACTCTATTCGGGCTAACGATCTTGAATCTTGAATCGGGCAAAGCCCAAGGCCCTATTCTCCCCAAAATCCTTGAAGCCTGCAAACATGCTTCACTTTTTGGAGCCAGAGCTAGGAATGTTGAGAGTCCATCGAAATGTTGAATGAAGGTCCATGTCTGAGATGAGACACCATTTGGCTAAGTTCTACATTAATATGCATGAAAAGTTGGCTGGTCGATCCATCATGGAACGGCAATGGGAGAGCAGAGTGTTCCTTTATTTATTACATATCTGAAACGGGAAAGAACAACAACCACAGACACGGGCTGCTCTCAGAGCCTCTGTGATGTGATGTGAGGGCCACTTAAGAAATCAGCAACAATAACTCTCCATGGGGATAAGCCCGAGCATCAGCGAGAGCCACCCCTTGCCCACTTCGAGAACCCTTTTGTCTCTCCTGGTGACTGGTGGAAAAACTCACCTCCACCCATCAGTCCATCCATCCATCCATGCACGGCCTGACCTGACCTGACCTGACCTGACCGTACCGTCCCTCCATCCATCCATCCATCCATCCATCCTTATCGGTGTGATTCCAACGGCACAGAACGAATTAAATGCTTATATGAACAACAACAAAAAAAAAGACCTGACAGAGCTTTTGGCTTCAATGTCAAAGAGTTTCGAAAGTATTTGGCAGGTCGAGCAGCTCAAGGACCGACGTTTGAATACCCTGTAGGAAAGCACCAGCAGATGACACATGAGGCCACCTGTTTTCCATTCTTTAGTCTTACCAGGATCTGGATTATCCAGATGAGGAGGAGGATTGTGGATAGAAGATTGTTTTTCCAACATTAGGAACTGGCACACATGTGATCTTGAGGGGTTTTTACGGGGATATTCGGGGACCAAAAAACTCATAACATGATTTGGAAATGAACTTATTCCAAGATGTAATGAGGCAACCAAAGGAGAGCCGTTTAAGTAACTCTTTAAAGTTTAAACTAATCCCTAAAAGCCCATCAATGCTTAACTATTAATTGTTCAATGTACAAAATATCCATCCCAAAACTAGGAGGAATACTTGAACAGTTCTGTGCATAAAATCCGCATACTCCAGATCCAGCGAAAAGTGTATTCAGCAACAAAAATAATAATAATCAACAGAAATATATAATACATCAAGCATCAGGGCTTCGGTTCCGAGCGTGCCCTGGACTTTGGTGCACACTTTGGGCATACGAAATACAAAAATCGAAAGGAAGGAAGGAAGGAAGGACCACCAGCAGGTGTGTGAGCCTTAGCGGTTCAAATCGCATTGACGTGTGTGCCAAAAGAGCGTAAAACCTCAAACACGTTGTGTAACTTTTATGCGTTACAGTTGAACCGGAAACGGAAATCTAATAGACCAAAGCATGAATAAGTGATGAAGCGAGAAAAACGTAGCCCGAAGCCTGCCCCTGCCCCTGCCCCTGCCCCAACCACGATGGAGTGGACGCAAAACCCTTTTCAATGCTCGCCCAAAATCTTATCAGAGGCTTCAAGTTTCGCCACCCCTCCCTCCTCTATCATGTGTGCCCTTTTTCTCCCATATTCGACTTTTCCCCGTTTTCCGGCATCTTTTTTTTTTTTTGTTTTTTTCTTCATCATTTTCATTCCCTGTTCGGCATTTGAGCTTAGCCCCTGGTTGAGGGGGGGGTGGGCTTCTTGGCCAAACTTTGGCAGCCACAAAAACCTTTGTTCACTTCCACTTTGGACCCGGTCGAGCGGATGTGTGGATAGGTGTGTGTGTGTGTGTGTGTGTGTGTGTGTGTGTGGGCGGGCATGGGCCCTTGCACGGCCTTGATATTGCCAACACATGTTTTCGGGAAGATTACCTTGTCAATCGGTTCGTTGAACGATTACTTTTCAAATGTTGTTGGCAAAAGCCAGCCAAAAACCCTGCAGGAACAAAGGGAAAGCTACAGGCCAAGAGACCAGCACCAAAAAACAGAAGAAGAACTGCAGGTTCGTGCAGGGTCGTGCAGGGGTCGGGGTCGGGGTCGGGGTCGGGGACGGGAACGGGGACGGGGCCGAAAACAATCTGGCGGCCCAGTAAAGCTGTCATACGTTCTCCATAAGATTCACAACTTCCTTCCTGCTCGTCCTCTTCGGCAAATAGAAAGCATACATACGCACCACCAAACCACCTCGAGCATTCCCTTTCCCGGTCCCAGTTCGAGTCCCCATTCCCGGTTCCCCTTCACAGGAGATGGGATCCAGCGACAACATTGTTTTATTTCTCATTTCACAGGCAATGCAATAAAATCGCCTAAATATGCCTCGACCGAAGGTAAGTGGTTTCGTTTGTGCGCAAAAATTCGCTTCACTGCATCCGAGTGCGCCCCGCGGTGCAAACATTGGCGCCTTTTGCCCCGGCTTATCCACCGCCGACAGTGGGCACCAGCACCAGCATCGTCAGCACTGGATCTCATCCTGCCAACGTGTAAATGCAATCCCCTACCCTACTGCACACGACAGAGTACACTTGTATGTACGCACATATATGTATATGTTAGGCCAAAAAAGTACGATTTGAAAGTATTTTCGACAGCCAGAATAATAATGCTGGTAGTCCACTATAATTAGACTTAAAGGCAGAGATAGCATGAGATAGAACGACATGTTAGTGTTGGCAACCGTTTCTACAGTGCCATCAGTCGAAGAAATGATGTTTACCAACACTCACAGCTGATTTAGAAACAGCTGATAACAATTCCAGTACCAATTTAGAGCTTTTATACCTCTCGCTCGAACTGCTTGCTTTTGCCATTGGGTTTCGCGGCCTCAACTTGGAGAGTAGTGGGATAAACCCCGATATGGATCGTACAGAGTTCCAAGATGTTTTTTTTTGTATAATAAATTAATAAAGTACCGACAAAAGAATCTGAATGAT